TCACTATGCTATAAAGAAAAAAAAAAACTTCTACTTTTGGCTACAATGCAGTAACTTCCAGCACGTGAATGCCGTCACCATGTAAAATCTGAAAAGCCAGATAAAACACAGGAAACATCTATTTAAAGGCATCTGAAAGCTGATGCGACTAGTAGGTGGTGAGTGGCTAAGATGTCAGAGAGAAGATAACCACAGAAAAACAGTCCGGCACTGCACTTGCCTCTTTCCCTGGTGGAACTTGCCGATTCTTGGCATACTGCTAAATACTGGGAATCTGCATGTGGGGCCACTGCAAAGAGGCAGAGAAGCCAGTAGAGTTTGAACAATCCCACAGGGGTGCAGAGACAAAAGTTAGTATTTTGGTGCCCAAAGGCACTGGGTATTAATGGGTCAAGTAAGCAGTGAGAAAGGAGACACTGACAAACAATCCAATTAAAAATGGGCAAAGGATCTGAACAGACACTTCTCCAAGGAGGATATATAGAGGGTCTCTGGGCCAAAAGATGCTCAACATCACTAGCCATCAGAGAGATGCAAATTAAAATCACAGTGAGGTATCATCTCACACATGCCAAAATGACTGTCACTAATAAATCTACAAACAAGTGCTGGCGAGGCTGAGGAGAAAAGGGAACCCTAGCACACTGATGGCCGGAAGGCAGACTGGTGCAGCCACTGTGGAAAGCAGTGTGGAATTTCCTCAAAACATTAAAAATGAAACTGTCTTTTGACCCAGTGATTCCAATGCTGGGAATATATCCTAAGAATCCCAAAACACCACTTCAAAAGAATTTATGCCCTCCTACATTCATAGCAGCATTATTTACAATATCCAAGTGCTGGAAGCAGCCTAAGTGCCCATCAATAGATGAGTGAATCAAAAAATTGTGGTACATTTACACAATGGAATATTACAAGCAGAAAGAAAGAAGGATTTCCTACCTTTTACAACAGCATGGATGGAACTGGAGACTATTACGCTAAGTGAAATAAGCGAGTCAGTGAAAGATAAACACCATGTGATCTCACTTATAAGAGGAGTCTAATGAACAAAATAAACTCATGAGCAAAATAGAACCAGAGACATGGACAGATGGAACAGCTTGAAAGTGAGCAGAGGGGAGAGGGGAGGACAACGGTGAAAAGAAGGGGAAGGGGCTCATCATGGAGTGTGTATGAATGGCCACGGATGTGGACAACAGCCTGGGGATGGACAATGGGAGCAGGAGCTGGGCTGGGCTGGGCAGAGGAGAGCAAAGGGGGGGAAATGGGGACAATTGTAATAGAGTAACAATAAAAATAAATAAGTTTTAAAAAAAGAAGAAAGAAAGAAGACACAGACAAGTGGCTGAACCCAGACGGATTTCCCCTTAAGGTATTTGCCACAAAGGGCAAGAAACTTAAAGAGGTGAGAAGAAAAACTCGGTGAAGTAAAGTGGAAATACCAGTAATCTTATTGTTCTCCGAAGAAAAGTATTAGAATTTGGGGCTGTCCAAGGAGGCGCAGAATGCAGTAAACACCTCAGCTTCTCCATTGGGCGCACTGGAGAAGGGCACCCTCAGAAAGGAAACAAATGGGAGGCCGATGGAGCCTTATTAACATGCCTTACAAACACAGCAAAATCAGCTCAGTCTCCAATTGGATCAAGGTGATCTATTCACAGTCTATGTGCCTACCCTTCAGGAAAGGATTGGCTGCCCTTACTGTCACCCAGCAGCCTTCAGCTCCTTCAGGTTCGGCCTCAGCTGCAGAGCACTGCCTTCCCGGGAAGGATCACACCCAGTGACTGACTGAGGTGGGGACAGACCGTCATGCCCAGCTTAAGGAGCGGCTACGTTCTAAGAAATACATGTTCAGCGACTTTGTTCCTGTGTGAACATCATGGAGTGCGCTTAACACTTAGGCTGCGTTATATAAGCTACCACCCCTTGGCTACAGGCTTGTACAGCACGTACTATACAAAACATGAGGTTAAATCACATACAGGAGAAGTTGATGCAAGCAAGAGACACGATACACACAAGATGCAGGAAGCAGCTGCCACAGTAGCTTGACATACACTTTTACCACAAACTTTTTTTTATAAGTAGAAAGAGTACACTCTAAAATACAATTAAAAGTATAGTTTAGTAAGTACATAAAGCAGTAACACATAGTCATTTATTATCATTATCAAGTATATGTGCTGTACATAATTATATGTGCTATTCTTTTATACAACAAGAAACGCAGTAGGTTGGTTTACACCAGCATCACCACAAACACATGAGCAGTGCATTGTGCTACAATGTTTTGACAGCTCTGATATCACTATGTGATAGGAATCTCATTGTCCCTTGTCATATATAAGGTCCGTGATTGACCAAAACGTCATTATACGGCTCAACACTGTAAACACCCAGCTATCTTGGCCTAACATGGAACAACCCGTTGAAGCCGTATATGCTCCAGAGCTCCCCATGGATTTAGCTGAGGCTTTAATGGGCCTGGATCTTATTTCAACATCTCCCTCTGCCCAGCCTTGCTTTCTCTCTCTCCTTTACGCAAGTGCGGATACTTAATAAATAACCTGTACAACCAACTCTTTCTCAAAGACTTCTTCTGGAAAACACAGCTGGAGACAGCCACAGGAATGGTCCAAGAGAGGAGGTGATAAGATGGGCTTCTTGATCTGGATCACTCACAGATGGGATGGCAGTGAAGTTAACATCATTGATGTTTAAGTGGAGAGAGACATTCCTTGGCATAAGGGGGTGGTCCAGCTTTTAAAACCCTTATCAAAGGCGAATTGGAAAGGAATGCACTGAATGGGGTAACTAATCAATGTTTGAGATGTACAGAGGAAAAGTAACAATAAGGACAGTGGATTGGATGGCTTACTGCTAAGAATCAATGTCCTAGAAAAAGATAACTCAAAACTACAGGCAACTATAACTCATGTGTGAAAGCCAAAGGGCCTTTCTAGTAAATTAGAAAGAGGTTCTTACATGCTGATATAGGAGAGTCTAAAAAGCTGAGGACCAGAAAAGATCAATAACATAGACCCATTAACATTAAGACATTCTATTCCATCTCAGGCACTAATAAGAAGGAGAAAAGGCAGGCCACAGAGTGGGAAATATTCACAATACACATATCCTACAGATTGCATATCCGGAATACACAAAGAACTCTAAGTCAAGAACAAAGACAGATTACTCAATAAGAAATTGGGCAAAATATTTGGACAGACACTTTGCAAAAAGAGATACTCAAATTAAAAAAGAATTTAAATCAATCAGTTTCATCAGGAAATGCAAATTAAGATTACAAAGTCTTGGCTGGGTATCTCAGTTAGAGTGTTGTCCTGATATGCCAAGGTTGTAGGTTCAATCCCCAGTCAGAACTCACACAAGAATCAACCAATGAATGCATTAATAAATGGAACAACAAACCAATATCTCTCTTTCCCCACCCTTTTTTCTCTCTAAAAACCAATAAATAAAAAAATCAAACTCATGGACATAAATCTAATTACTATATATCATTTCTACATAGAAAATTATGAAACATGTTTGAGAAAAATGAAGACTAATAAGGGAAGACATATTCTGTGTTTATGGACTGGAAAACTCAGCATTTTAAAGATGGATGTTACTTCTTCACAAATTGACTTACAGATTTAGTGCAATTTCAAACATAATCTCAGGAAGTTTTCCAGTGTGTGTATAAATTGACAAGTACAGGAATTGCAAAGGGATATTTCTTATTGAAAACAACAAAGCTGGAGGACTTGCTATTTCTAGATGTAAAAATAACTCAAAAGAGACACCACAATGCTATTATCAGAATTGCCAAAATGAAAGCAGCAGACAATACCCAGTGTCGGGGGCGGGGTTTAGAGCTGCTTCCACTTTCGCACATAGCTCGTAGGAGTATGAGTTGGCACAGCCACTCTAAAAAGTCCTTTACTGAACAAATAACCCTGCTCAATCAAAGACAGGTACAATATAGTAGTGTCACTATTCACAATAGCTGGAAACAATCAAAGTGTCCATCAACAAGAAAAATACATTGTGATGTAGTTATATATTAGAATACTATACAACAATGAGAATGAATAAACCACAAGAAAAGGAAAACATAATGGATCTCTTAACCATAATGTTGAGCAAAGACAGCTAGATACAAAAAGAGTACATACTGTACGATTCCATTGATGTCAAGTTCAGCAGTAGGCAAAACTACCTAAAGTGCTAGAAAACAGGAGAGAGGTCCTTTTGAGAGTGTGAGATGACTTGGAAGGGGCTTGAAAGTGTCTCTGGGATGCTGTTAATGTTCTTTTTCTTGATCTGGATGCTGATTACATGAGTTTGGTCACTTTGATGAAATTTTTTGCACTGTACACATTTGTATGCATCTTTGTATGAATAATATATTGGGTTGGCCAAAATGTTCCTTTGGTTTTTTTCCATACGATGGCTCTGGTAATGCTTAGTTGTCTTTAACTTCATTCAGAACAATTTTGTTAGATTGTATTGTGACAGCTGTCTTATCAGTGTGCATTTAAAAAAAAACAAAATTGGTGAATTTTTGTGTAGCCGTTTTAATATTGAATATGGAAGAAAATACTCACCATTTTCGGCATATTATGCCTTATTATTTCAAGTAAGGTAAAAATGCAACTGAAATGCAAAAAAAAAAAAAAAAAAGATTTGTGCAGTGTATGGAGAAGGTGCTGTGACTGATCAAATGTGCCAAAAATGGTTTGCGAAGTTTCTCACTGGGCGGTCAGGAAGACCAGTTGAAATTGATAGAGATCAAATTGAGACATTAATTGAGAACAATCAACGTTATTCCATGGGGGAGGTAGCTGACACACTCAAAATATCCAAATCAATTAAGTTATTGGTGAAAATGAAAAATGTGTCTTTTATGGGGGAAACTAAACGAACTTTTTGGCCAACCCAACACTTTAATGAAAACACTTTTAAAAATGCAATGAAACACAGGCACCTACATTGCTTTCCTTTTTCCTGCTCTGGTGAGAAGCAACTCCTGCTGACGTTGCTGCTTTCAGTTTGGTTTCTAAACTGCGAGCATTGGAGGAAATTGGGCCAGGAGGCGTTCACCATCCCCAGGACCGATTCACAGCCCTCCTTCGCAGCCTCACAGAAGGACCAGCAGGGCAGGAGTCCGTGACTAGAAGAGAAGAGAGAGGTGAAAATTAATATTTTTACAGACTACTTTTTGAAAAAGTAATGTAATTAAATGTGGCCACCAGGGCTGCAATATTATTTTAATTTATATTTACTATGTCGACAACTTAAATTTCTACATTCAATCCTGTAACAAGAATGTCAGCAACCCTAACATCACGGTTCTGGAGGGAATAAGCTAATTCCATAGGATATCATCTACTATCTACCATAGAAGCATTGACTCTCCCAACAGGTTTTTAGATTTTCCATGCTAAAGTAAACCTGTCCACCAGAAAAGAGCTCCACGTGATATCCACAGGAGTAAATGAACATGAAAATGAAGGTCCCCAAATTGCAACAGAGGAAGTAGGTCACAAAATAGGTTAATCTCATTTCTCTTCCTTCCCTTAGAGAATTTCAAAGTATCTCTGAGAGGCAGACAGAGAAAAAGCTGTTCTTTAACTTCCACTGCCTCCCTGGTAAAGAAACATAACGACGGCAGTTATCAACATTTACTGTGGCGAGCAGGGCCTGAAGCCCCATTGAAAGCAGGTGCTGTAGAGCATCGACACAGAGGTGACGCAGTGGAGCTCTCTCTCTCCCGAGGTGGAACCTGCAGGGCGTCTCAAAGTGACTCATTCTCTGGATGTGTTGTCCATGCTCTGACGTCCTCTGCTTTTATGCTTCTTTTTGTTGCAAAGTCATGTTGATTTTGCACAATTTCTCATAAACATGTTTTCCTTCATTTGGATATGCACATGCTGTTTTCCTCAGTCCCGATAGGCACACGTTGTAAACATCAGCTCTGATGGACACATGTTGTTTTGTGCGACCTCGATAGGCACAAATGGAATGAAACACAGGCACCTACAATGTCGCTCTACTGCATATGCTCTGAGAGGGGGGCATCACCCCTTAGATAAGCACATATTGTCTGCCATGTCGTACTGTGCATGCTCAGGGGCTAAATCATCCCCCAAGTCATTGCTCTACTGTGCATGCTCTAAACATGGTTTCAGGTCCTGCTAAACATATTTACCTACAGTTACAAACCATATATTTATCTACAGTTTATAATTATCTTCTCCAAAATAGAAAAATACAAAAACTGTCTATTAATGGTAAGAGCAATGATGCCGCAGCTTATCTTTATTCATATGACACGCAATCCAACACTCCTGGTTCCACTGCTCTGCGTCTGGGGACTATGATGCTACAATGCCAAGGCCATCCACTGTTCTCTTACAGACCCAGGGGGCTTTTTTTCCTTTGCAGCTACAGACTGCAACTCTTGCCCTGGCTGGTGAGCAAGCTGGCAAAGGCATTTCAAGTGGTTTTAGGAGAACTGGGAAAGAAAAAATACAAAGCAAAGCCCACACTTCAGAATGTAGCATCACTAAATTTCAGGCCACGCAATAGTAGATATGTAAGAAACCTTAAATAACACCTCATTCAAATCCTTCATTTGAAAGAGGATCTGAGTCTGGGATTGACTGAAGGTCACACAGCTTCTTAATGGCAGAACTGGGAGGAGAATCCATTTGTTTGAGTTTTTAGTCTATACTCTATCTACTCTCCCATACTGTCTATTCTCAAATAAGGACCTAATAATTGGGCTTTAAAATTTCCGTGTTCAAACAAGCACATTCACAATACCCTATTCATACTTCTTTGAATTACAGAAACAATGGGATGCACAAGCCACTTAGTTAAAATAAAACTGAAAGAGGCCTGTGAAAGAATTTTGGGAGAGAGGTCTTACTGTAGATAAAAATGTGGAAAAGGGGTACTCAGCAATTACATTCAGATACAATTGCTTTTGACCTTCCTCTCAGAAACTTGCATTAAAACTGATTTTCTTTTATTAGAGTCCTGATGTTCACATAGCTATCTACCTACATTAATATGTAATTAAATTTTTTAGCGAAGATGTGGAAGGAGAGGTTTTGCATTTGAAAGATTATGTTTAAGGTATAAAATTATAAACTAGTCCAGGCAAGTATCTTGGTGTAAAAAGAACATCCAACTGTCATTCAAAAAATATATTAGATATTTGTAAGACTAAGAAATTATCACTTATATATGACATTCTCTGTCTTATGCCAGAGAAGTCAGAGACTATATTTTCTCAAATAAAACCTAGATACATGGTTGAGGAAGGTGGAGAACATAGAATTCCTGTGCAGTTGCTTACCCTTTGCTAGACTCTCTTCTGAGTGCTACATGTGCATTAACTCATTCATTTCTCACTACAGCCCCAGCGATAAGTACTAGTACTATCACCCCTGATACCCAAATAAGGAAACTGAAGCACAGGAAAAATAAGAGACTTGTCCAAGGTCACTGAAGGAATGAGTGTCAGAGCCAGGATCCAAATCCAGGCAGACTGACCCAGGGACCCATTCTATTAACCACTCTCTTACGTGTCAGTCCTCACTTCAGGAAGGTTGTTCCAAAGGTATAACTCCAGAGTAGTTAAGAACTTGATAGGCACTTTCCAAGGGGACCAGCCATATACACAGAGGTTAGGCTCTCCCTTCATTCTGTAAACTCCTACTTAACCTGCAATAAATCAGTATTGCCAAAGGGGCTAAAGAACACAAGGGAAGGGGTAAGCCATTTAGTTTTCCTTTCCAGGTGTGAGACAGCGCATAGGAAAGCCACAAGACAAGCTAGGCTTGGCTTTGGCATTCTTCCTTTGGCCTGGAGCCCCTGACCTAGGCCCCAGTCTCTGATGTCACCCCGACCATCCCCACCGTAGCGTCCCCCCTCGACAGCCACCTCCACCAGAGCAGAACTTGCTCTTCAACGTTTTCTTCCTTTCCTACAATCAAAACTACATTCCCCAAGTGAGTGGATCACAATTAGGCTTTCAAAGACAAAAGATGAAAATAACACAGAGTAATTTATACTAATAGATGGACATTCAACCCTCCCAAAGGTGCTGGAGTCATTAAAAGAGTTATTGGAGCAAGGGAATGTCTAATTAATGGAATTTCAGATGCCATTTAGAGGGGGGAAATCCATCCAATGTTGTGGGGTGGGGGAGATCACCGCGAAGCTAACCCTTCGGGTCCAACTCCCCCAAGTGGCTCCTGGACCTTTCCTCACTTTTGAACCCACATACTTTTTGGATCACTCCACGTTTTTCTCAGAATCTTCTAACATAAGAGCACTGAAGTCTCACGCAGGAGCCCAGCAGACTGTTTTCATGTTCTGAAGCTGAGTCTTAACTCAGAAGCTGACACTCTCATTGACCCTAACTATGACTGTTTTCTGCAGCAAAGGGTAAGTCTGCCACCCTAGAACTTTCATGGGGCCCCTCCTCACTGTCCGATCTTGTGCCGACACTTCACTCACACTGAGACTCAGTTTCCTCACTTGCCAAGTGAGGGGTTTGGAAGAGCTGAGTTTACATGGTCCTTTTACCACTAACATTTTGTAAATCAGAATGTATTCTTTAACACAGTGCTTCTCAGAGGAACAGCGATAATCCCACCGGCATTGCTAAATTTCAGAAGGTAACAGACATTTTTTTCTCATGACTTGTTCTGGGAATATATAGAGATATTAAAATACCATTAGGCCTTTCATTCTAAAAATAGGTTCTAAGAAAAATGTCTAGAGTGTTTCCAAATAGCTCTCTTAAGAGGTGTAACCAACAGAGACCCATAAGCTTTAAATTGCTGGACATGGACATGTGAAATAGTGATAGAGTATTAATAACTAGCAGCCCTTATAAGTAGCAAGCAAAATGAGAAGCCATTTGTTCTTGCTTTGCATGAAATTCAACTGCCTATGAGAGGTTGAAGTATTTTGCTTTCATCACATGGAACAGTGTGGTGAGATAGCCCACACTATTTTGGAATATAAGTGTCTATATCCAAGCAACAAGCAGACTGACATATGAAAACAGTGCCCAGCACAAGGCAGGAGTCAGATCTGGCTATCAGAATACTATTTTAGAAATGGCAATTATTTTAAATCGATGTGTGAAGTGTACTTGGTGTCGTGTAAAAGTCTCTGACACATTTCAACTAAAGTTTAAGCAGAAAACAAATATATAAGTAATTATACTACATAGTGATAGTGAGCTTTTTATTGTATTTCCATTAGGAAGGATGTTCTCAAATGATTTATCTACAATAAACTTGAAGGTTTTACCTATATATTTTTAAGTAAATTTATCTGCCAAAATTTTTACAATTTATTTACCAAAAAAATTTGATTTTTTCTTTATTGTGCACTTTGGAAACATGGGTCCCCATACCCCTTTCTTTTGGAGATTGTAGACTTTATCTGCAAAAAAGATTCTGATAAGACCTAATGTTAAACTTATTGAATAAGCTATAGCTACAAAATAGGCTTATGCAAGTATGAATTTTTAAGTTTTACAAATCACTTTTTCTAACTTTAACTACTTTCTGACCTACAGAAAAGTTACAAAACTAGTACAGAAAATTCCCTTATGTCTTGTATCCAGGATCCCTCAAGGTTAACATTTTACACAACTACAGTATAATGATCAGAACCAGGAAATTAACATCGGTACAATATCTTTAACTAAATTAAGAACACTGTTCAAATATCCTTAAATTCTCCATTCAGAATCCCATATCACATTTAGTTCTCACTTTTCATTTTTGGCAAAAATGAGCCTTTGTGGCAGGCAGACTCTAAGCTGGTCCACAACAACCCTGCCTCCTGGTATTCAGCCCTGTGTAAGCCATCACCGCACCCCCCGCCGCCGCCTCCACGCCCCCCCGCCCCGCCGCCGAGTGTGGGTTGGCCCAAGTGACTTGTTTCCAACCAATAGATGATAATGGGATAGCACTTCCATCACGAAAAGGAGTGTGACCACTCTACTGCTAGCTTTCCCTCTGCAGGAGATGACATGATTTATACATTCATCCAGTGGTATACTGGTAAACTGACTCCCTGAAAACAAAACAAAACGATCATTTGTAGCATTTGCCATATTGGGCAGGCCCACATAACAAA